GTCTGATTTCTTCCTTTGTGCTGTTGGCACACGTGATGTGGAGCATCGTCTCCAGACTGCAGTAGTTGAGGGCCGCACTGGCTATTGCCATGGAACTAGTCTCCTGGTCTCCTGTGGGAGGGAGAGGGTTAAAAAATCTTGGAGGGAGGGGGTTAAAAAAATCGGTTGGTATACATCCCTATGTCGTAAAGCGGACTTTATGGGACAAGCAAGCTGTCATTGTTCCAGGGTTATTAATTCAGTATGTACAACTTTCACAGGAAAGTGTTTAGCTACAAAGAATGAGGGGGGACTAATGAAATTGGAAACACGTGAAATGTCACGTGTTTCCAAGAATCCTTTTCAAGTCTAGGCAGTGGTGATGTAGTTGTAAAGATTCCCAGAATGGGAGTTATGGCAACCCAAAATACCATGCCAACAGTTCAAACACAAATGACTTTCTGCAACCATTGACAATCAGGTTCCTAATAGGTTTGACCACCTGCTATATACCGGTCCCTCTATCGCAACCCCAGAAAAAATGCCGGTGAGAGTGTGCCTGAGCGGGGAGAGTGTGCCTGAGCGCCATGAGTTATGGCTTTAGAGCTATGCACTGTCGTGTGTGGTGTCTGCACATGAAAAATATCCCCACGGGTAGCAAAAGCATCACATTCGGAGATAGTGATCAAAATTTCACCCAGAGAGTGCTAAAATTTCACTCAGAGAGATTGTGCTCAAATTTCACTCAGAGATACAAATTCACTGAAACCACTTTTAATGGAAACTCAGAATATCGGACACATCTCTATATCAAAACCCATATAATTTCCATGGACCAGTTAAACTGGAAATCCTGTACCTCCAGGGTTGCCGGCAGGGTGCCACGTTACGTCACAGAACAGCGGCCCGCCCTCAAACATGCGGTCGAATCTGTTGATTAGATTAGCGGCTCCGGCAGCCGTCCGCGGGGGGAAGAACTCTAGGGAGAAGAAATTGTCGCCACTCGAGATCCGTCCCTGTAGGGGTGGGGGTGGGGGACCAAACAAGACAAATTAGTACCAACGAGTACGAAACCACAATATCAGTGGCCACAAGTTGTGGCGCGAGCGAATGTCGGCTTGCATGCCAAATGCTGTAGAAAAGGGTGCAGAATAAGGCATGTTATACCACAAGTAGTCGCGTACAAAATCATACAAGATAATGTTGGTGGTCGATCGATTGGTTGGTAGTGGGATAGACTTACAAGACAAAAGAAGCCACTGTGAATATATAGTCGTGTGTGAATGCTGGTATAACTGGTATGAAGTTACCAATTGACATAACAAAAGGTCACTAAACACATTTCCATGCCAACTGCACTCTGCTCAACCGAACCACAGCTTGGTAAAACTGACAAACACCACGTGAATAAAAGTCAGGTGACGTCTTATGTTGTTCCACGACCTTTATTTCTGGGTACTGATCTCTAAATAATGCCCCCCTGATGAAAAGGTGAAACACGTGTGTGGATATAAAATGCCAGTGCAGCTCGCCAGAGCTGAGCACTTCCATGGCTTCCTCCATATTGCGATATCCTCCACACTGCTAACTCAAAACACGGAATTAAACATGCAGACACGTTGTGTTCACAATGTACGGACACAAGCCGCCGGCTGCTACCAACTACCCAGCTGCTGTGCGACTAACCTGTATCTTTTCGGAGAGCGTCTTGATGGGCGCGAGACTGGAGACGCTGCCGCCAGGTGGAGAGTTAGAGCCCGCGCTGCTGGCGCCGCTGGAAGAGAGGCGAGACGACCCGACACCTGTGTCAATGCTTCCGCTCCGTCCGGACACTGCGACGCGGCTGAACGCCGGCTCCGATCGCACGCGGTGAAACGGTTCTTCCGCAGTCATGATTGCTGCCATTATGTTCGCCTGCTCTCTTTCTTATCCAGTGACACAAATGAAATGCTCCCGACCTCTCATTTCATTTACATTCCACGCGGTGTTATTTCATTGCGCATGTGCACACGTACGATTCCTGTTCGTTCTGCGCATTGCGCATGCGTATAGGTTTAGCGCGTTCCCCATATCCGGAACCGAGTCCCGGGAACTGAGCTGAGTTTCTAGCCCCGCCCCCAAGACACCCGAAAGGGGAGGCCCCCTTTCATCTGAACGCCTCCATAAAGTCATGTGTCGTATGCATACTCATAAGCCGACAAAGTCGTGGCCTACCGTGTAAACAGTAGACCAACAGCCGTTCTGGAGCCACAGAGCTGCGGCGGGCTGTCACGACAGAGGTCGAGATCTTGAGTGGAGAGAGAAAGAGCGGTATGTTGTGTTGTGGTCTTGTAGCTGCAGCGCCGGGCTCTCGCTACCTAGCTAGAGGCCGGGTATCCTAGCGAACCTCCTAGTTATTCGGCAGCTGAACCGCTCAGATGCGGCTGTAGCTATCCGTAGCTTATGATAGGCGGGATGGCGGTTGCCTACGAACGTTCCCGGGTCGAAATACGGGCGGTAGAAGGTTTAGAAGTTCAACGACGTGTAGCAAGTAACTAGCTAAGTAGCTCAGTTTTTACCTGTAGTTCCACAAGGTGTGTAGGGTCTATGAACTACTGCGAGAGAGAGAGATCGGCGAACGTAGGAGAGTATCGAGAGACGTAAAGATAGTATGTACTCCGTATGGTAAGAGAAGGGAAAGGCCTTCTACTACGTAGCTGATAGCAAACCCAAAGTATATAGCTAAGATTACTCTTGCTCTCTGAGAATTGCGAATATTTGTGTTATATGAATATGCAGTGAATGCGAAGATGGTCGATAGAGAGCTTCTGGTACCAGTGGATCTGATTGAGGAAAACGGCGGGGACGAGGAGGAGGAGGGGGAGGAGAAGGGGGAGAAGGGGAATATTGGTGGGAAAGGGGAAGAGAAACTCTACGACGTGGATTTGGGACACGATCAGACCAACGGCTGCTGTGGAGAAGGGGGGTGTTGCCATAGTAACAACCACCGTCCGCTCTCGGTCCAATCAGGCGACATCGTTCGACCCCCCTCCTCTTCCCTCCCGCCGTCACACAGCCGCTCCTACAGAAAGCTCTACCCCTACGTCCTCAAAGCTGTCAGCTACGCCTTTTGGCCGGAGAAATATGCCGTAGTTCCTCTGTTAGTCCTCGTAGTTCTCTCTTCCGTGGCCATCATGCTGGGTTGCCTCGTCTTGTTCAATGTGTTTCCGCTCACGTACAACATCAGCATCAGCTCTGTGCAAGTCCCAGACCACGAGTCTTCGATTCACTGGGACGCGTACCAAGCCGCCGTGGAGAAACAGTTCTTCAATGAAACCAATCCGAACACTTTCAGTGGCGACTCGTCTGTCAGCTCCAAAAATTTACTGTCGGACGATGGAGGAGGAGGAGGAGGAGGTAATGAAGAAAAGGCAGCTAGCTCGTCGTCTTCTTGCTGCAACAGCGGCTCAAGCCAGCGTAGGATGCACGGGACGTGGGTTTTGGAGCTGGTCTATCGGGGTCGCGGCGGACGAAACCTGCTCGAAACGAGACACATCGAGTACCTCCACTCGATCGAGGAACACATCTACAACCTTCCGAAGTACTCCACAGTCTGTCACTTTGCCTTCAGGAACCCAGTCTGCGATCCGGTCAACTCCCTCCTGACCTATCTCTACCCTCGTAGCACGGACGACGGCTCTCTGGAGAGAGACACACTCCCGGACGATTGGAGGGAGTCTGTAGACACAAGTCAGTTGACTGTGGAGCAGGCCGAGCAGCTGTTGTGGTATACCGGAGGTAATATCGGGAACACTTCGCTCCTGAGGGCCCAGGTTAGTTCAGAGAGAGAAAGAGAAATGGACGGAAGCCTTACTTGCTATTAAGTGCATATCTTATACAAAAGCTGATAAATTTGGAAGAGTATAAATTTTGTATGTAACGTCAGTAAATGTTAGGTAATTTTTCTGGAGAACCTTTCATGCATTGCATTGTATATACAAAAGGCGATCCTCTCCCAAGAACTTTCCCAAGATAATATCACTTTCTCATATAATGTGAGTTGTCTATTAAACACCGTATAATGTGGAATTCTCTCCTTCTATGAAGCTATAATGTAGCTATTGTACTCCAAATTAGTGTGTGGCAGGGAGAGGGAAGCACAGCGGTTATATATATATATAGGTGTGCATCTCACACAATAGTAACGTGTGTGTGTGAATGAAGAGAAGGAGGAGGATTACTTTCATACTGTGTTGTTCAGGGGCCTTGTAGTATAGGTATTGTGGTGAATTCTTACAATGTTTCACTTCCACCCCCTTCCACCCTCTGGGCCTCGTTTCATCATCATTTTCCTGTCGCATTTCCTGCCATTATCCTGGTTCTCTTTCCCTCTTTATGTCTTCTCTCTCTCTCCCTCCTTCACTCCCTCCTCGTCTTTAATTCCTCTCCTTCCCCCCTCTCTCTTCTCTCCCTCCTTCTCTATCCCCACAGGTTCGTGTGGGTGTGCCTCTACCATGTTACTGTTCCTATGGCGACAGAACTAACGAACAGCACCAGAAAGTGAAAGAGTTTTTCATATCGCTCATTCCTTTTCTCGAACACGCTTCCACCAGGTACGACATCGCGGTATCTCTAATCGTTCCCCCTTTCTCTACCCACATTTCTCTCTCTAACCTGTTCTAACTCTTGCCAAGTTGGCTTGGACTTTTTTAGTTTGTGGACAAGGGCCAAAGTGAGCATTAGAAAAATTTCCTGCACTTTCAGTGTTATGGATACCATAATTATAGCAGTTACATGTATACCGTGCCATAGCACTGTAGTTTGGGGTTGGTCTTGTGTTGTGTTGTGTTGAAGATTCGAACCCCTACCGGCTGAGTTGCTCTGGTAGCTCAGTTGGTAGAGCGCTCTCCTACACTGCAGAGTGCGTGGGTTAGAATCCCACCCAGGGCAACTCTTCTTTTGAAAAGAAAGAGCTGTCCTGGGTGTAGTTGACTTGTTTGCCTTGCCTTGCCTTTCAATGTACCTCGTTACCAAGTTGTTGAGACATGTACCTAGTTATGCTTTGTGATAACTCTCTGGTCTAGCGAGGTGTCGTGCTTTTATGCTCATCAGTGATTTGTCCTGATGAATGGAGCGTCAGGCGTCCTGAGATTAGTTAAGTTGTCCTGATAAATTAGGTGTCCCAATTTAGTGAGGTGTCCTGATTAGTGAGGTGTCCTGATAAGTAAGGTGTCCTGATGAACTGTGTGCAGTAAAGTGCCCTTGGTTCATCAAGGTGTCCTGATAAGTAAGGTGTCCTGATGAACTGTGTGCAGTAAAGTGGCCTTGGTTTATCAAGGTGTCCTGATAAGTAAGGTGTCCTGATGAACTGTGTGCAGTAAAGTGGCCTTGGTTCATCGGGGTGTCCTGATAAGTAAGGTGTCCTGATGAACTGTGTGCAGTAAAGTGGCCTTGGTTTATCAAGGTGTCCTGATAAGTAAGGTGTCCTGATGAACTGTGTGCAGTAAAGTGCCCTTGGTTTATCAAGGTGTCCTAATTTAGTGAGGTGTCCTGATAAATAAGGTGTCCTAACTTTTCATGGACTCTTGTATCTCAGGTGAATATGTGAGTAAATTCCACTGCAATTCTTTAGTTGCTGCAAAGCAGGTTTTGTCATCTTTATTGCTAGTTTGTTTGGCTTTCATCTCCTTGCTACACCTCTGCACAAGCTTCTATCTTAGACTGTAGTTAATTGTGCACAAATTATGTGCTGTTTTCTAAAGGATTGCGTCAATACACACAGCCTTTGTAGGATGGCAAGAAAGAGTTCTTTATGGGATTAAAAAAAATGGTTGAGCAGGTTTGCTCTGAGTTGAAAGTGTTTTGGCAGCACCCAACTCTCTACCTGCATATTGCTGATCACATCAGGCATGATATAGGTAAGGGGGGGGGGGGGGGGGGGGGGGGGGGGGGGGTAAGGTTGAAGGAGAGAGAGAGCTAGCTCATACGGATAAAACAGCAAAAGGTTTGTTAGGCATGACATCAGGGAATATATGGGCACACAAAATGAAGATGCCATTGTAGTGATCGGTGTTGTGTCTGCTGCAGGTTTCCTGCATGTTTACTCTTTTTCATTGTTGTCATGTCTTATCATGGACCTGTCAGCCTCCAGAATGTTGGTAGTGAGGAAGGAATTCCCTTGGCTCTCACTGGGACTTCTAAACTCAGTTCTCTTTTTGACGGAGGAAGGACGCGGTAGGCTGTCTCCGTGAGACGGGGAGACAGGGGGGGTGGAGTGCGGTGAGGGCGAGTGAGGGGAGGATTGGAAGGGAAGACACGCCGCAGTACGGGGCCGAGAGGAGGCGTGTGTTGCCGCGGGGGGAGGGGGGGCAGCCCTGGCCGGAGGGCGAGGAGACGTTCGGGGAGAGGGGATGGCGAGGGGCAAGCAAGCCGGGACGCACGCCGGGGGGGAGGGGGTGGTGCGGAGCAGGCGAGGGCGCGGGGAGGGGGGTCGGAGCGGGGGGGCGGAGCGAGGCACCGAGAGGGGGGGGCAGCCACGAGGGGACGGGCCAACAAGGGCGGAAGCGGGGGGGCGCGGGTCCCGCGGCGCGGCGCGGACGGGGGACGGGAGGGCGCGGAGGGGCCGGAGGGGCGGGCGGGCGGGGCCGGACGGGCCGGCGGAGGGAGGGAAGAGAAAGGGGGGAGCGGGGAGAGGACAGGGAGGAGGAAGGGGAGAACAGGGAGGAGGGGGAAGGAGCACAGAGAGAGGAGCAGCCGGAAGGGGGGTGGGGAGGGGGGGAGAGGAGAGGAAGGAAGCGGAGAGGTAGGAGGGGGGAGGAGAAGTGGGGAGTGTCCGGGGGGTGGCTTTCGACCGCAGGGGGGGGGGGGGAGAGGCGGGGCACAGGGGGGGGGCGAGGGCAGGGAAGGGGAGGAGGAGATGGGGCTACGTCGGACGGTAGGGGAGAAGGCGAGGGGGAGAAGAGGGAGGAGGGAGAGCAAGGGGGAGAGGGAGCGGCAGGGCGGACGGGGGGGGGGGAGGGGAGTGGGGGGGGGGGGGGGGGAGGGGAGGAGGAGGGGGGGAGGAGAGGGGCCGGGGGGGGGGGAGTGGGGGGGGGGAGGGGGGGGGGTGGGAGGGCGAGGGGAGGGGGGGGGGGGAGGGGGGAGTGGAGGAGGGGGGGAGGGGGGTGGGGGCGGGGGGGCGGGGGGAGGGGGGGGGAAGGGTGCGGCGGGTGGGGGGGGGGGTGGGTGGCGGGGGGGGGGGTAGGAGTGGGGAGTAGGGGGGTGGGCTGGAGAGGGGGGGGGGGGGGGGGGGGCGCGGAGGGGGGGGGGGGGGGGGAGGGGTGGGGGGGAGCGGGGGGAGGGGAGGGGGGGGGCAGGTGAGTGGGGGGGAGGGGAGGGGCACGTAGAGGCCCACGAGGGGGTGGGAGACAGGGGAGGGGATAGGGGCGAGGTGGGAGCGGAGGCTGTGCGAATGTGATCTTCTTTCTTAGGTGTATTTTCTGCTGGTTATGTGTTGTGACTGGCTATCTCTTTCGCTTTTTGCGCAGGCTTGGTTCAAAAAAAAAAACGTGAACACAAAGTCCAACTACACAGAGAGAGTTCCTCTACACGAATCGAGTGTAGAGGAGGGAGAGAGGTAGGCAGAGAGGGAATGACTTTCTTTCTTAAAAGCAAGAGTGGTCGTGTTCGTGAGAAGGAATCCGAACCTGTTATGCAGAACTGGCGCATTCCTCCTTGCATAAGGGCATGTCTCACATATGAACCACCGTATCTGGCGGAGAGAGAACTGCTCTCCTATATGTTATACACCGTGTGTCAATTATCTTGGAACATGAGAATTGCTGACAGTCAACGGTGTTGTTGTCAGGTGTCCATGTGAGTGGGAGTGCCGACCCAGCTTCAAACTAATGTTAGCATTCCTGGAAAGCATAGTCCCTGGGAGAGGTGGTGAATGTTGCACATAATATCACGTCTGTATATTATATACTCAGCCCAAATGTCACTGGGAGCATATACTGTGTGTGTTTTCAATACTGTTTGGTTCTTCTTGCCGTAATGTACACATCAACTACGTTTGGGAACTGGGGACTGTTTGTGCAGAAAAGTGCATATAAAAATTAGGTGGCTCGCTCGCTAGCAAGTCCCATTCTGTCTCCTCCCCCATTCTCAATTCGTCTCTCCCTCCGCTCTCACTTCTTTCTCCTTCTCTTTTTCATTTAAAACCCCTCCATTCGGACCCCTAAATTTAGACCTTCGTAATACCACCCCTTACACGGTAGAGCACCAGAATCAGACCCCTCCATTTTGACCCCTTATATTATGTAGAACACACTTAATTTAAGACTTTTGAGAAGACACCCCACTGGATTCAAAGACCCCTCCATTTTGACCCTTATATTATGTAGAACACTCTTAATTAAGACCCCCATTTGAGAAGACACCCCACTGGATTCAAAGACCCCTCCATTTGACCCCTTATATTATGTAGAACACTCTTAATTTAAGACCACCATTTTTGAGAAGACACCCCCCTGGATCAAAGACCCCTCATCTTGACCCCTTATATTATGTAGAACACACTTAATTTAAGACCACCATTTTGAAGAAGACACCCCCCTGGATTCAAAGACCCTCCTAAACTTGCATGTTCTCAGATAGAACATAGGTTCCATCCTGTCTGTTTTGTCTTTATTGGGGGTCCACTTTCACATTTAACCCTCCCCCTCTTCAGTGAAGTGGAGGTCTCTATGGAGGAGGAGACCTATTTGACTACGAACTAAAACCAGGCCAAACGCCACGACCTGCTTCTCGGAATCGGATCGTTTGCCCTCGTCCTTGTCGCCATGTTCATACTGACGGCTTCTCCGCGTGTCTGACTTTCTGGGGCGGCTTGCTCTCGTCCTGTGTTTCCTCGTCTCTCTATTTTTCTACCGCGTCGTCCTCGGTTACGAAACATTCTCTCTCCTCACCATCGTCACCTATTTGTCATCAGCGGGATCGGAACATATGTGGACGACGTTTTCGTGTTTCTACAACACGTTCAAACGAGTTCGCGAGGCGTTGGAGACTGGACAGCCGCACAAGCGAGGCTGGCTCACACGATTCTCGTGGCACTTCTGCCACCTTCATGCACTCGGCAAACAACGCATCGCCTTCCTCGCCAACGCAGTAGTATCTCAGGAACTTTTACACTGGGACCCCCCAGATTGTACCCCTGAATTCAGACCGCCATTTTGACTCTAAAAGGCCCACCTATATGCTCTTACCATCTAAGGCTCTTTGAGCACCCTCATTATGTAGACGAGTATCTTTGAGCACCCCTCCATTATGTAGACCCCTAATATATTTGAGCACTCCATTTCTGTAGATCTAATATCTTTGAGCACCCCTCCATTTTATGGAGACCCCGAATATCTTTGAGCACCCCTCCATTAGTGTAGACACCCTAGTATCTTTGCGCACCCCTCCTGTTATGTAGACCCCTACTATCTCTTGAGCACCCCCTCCACTCTTTATGTAGGACCCCCTAGATCTTGAAAGCTCATTTATGTAGCACCCCCCTCGCATCTGTGAGCACTTCCATGTATGTAGCCCCATAGTATCTTTGAGCACCCCCTCCATTTATGTAGACCCCCTAATATCTTGAGCACCCCCTCCATTTTGTAGACCCCTGTATCTTTGAGCACCCCCTCCATTTATGTAGACCCCTAGTATCTTTGAGCACCCCCTCCATTTATAGTAGACCCCCTAATATCTTTGAGCACCCCCTCCATTTATGTAGACCCCCTAGTATCTTTGAGCACCCCCTCCATTTTATGTAGACCCCCTAGTGTTAGAGACCATTGTATACCATACATTGAAGACTTAAAGAAAGACACCATTATAAAAAAACACTTGTGACCCCTTCTTTTTGACCCCCGCATTGAAAGACCCCCTCTTAAATGTATGCGCACACATATGTACAACATGTGCAATTGATAGTGATTTAACCCCTCTCTGCCCAGATTCCTGCAGTCCGACAGTTTGCCATCTTCACCGGTCTAGTCGTTATCTTCTGCTTCATCACCGTTGCCATAACGATGCCGCTGTTTCTCCACATCTGGCAGGTGTGGCTACTTCCAGTCGAAGATTTCATCCTCAACCTCCTCATCTTTCCGTTTAGACATCTCATCAACTTCTTCAGACACCTCGCCTGCCGTTGCAGGTGACTGCTGTGTTGTTGTTGTTGTTGTTGTTTACAGTGTAGACACACTGCATGTGGGAAGATTTCGAGGCTGAAAATTTTAACCCATTTGCAAAATTTGTGCAGCAAGAGACATTAATTTTGTTTCTGAATCACGCAAGTGTCTTCCCAAAAAGTAGACATGAATATTTTCAAGTGGTCTGCAAATTTTGTCGGAGGGTAAAATTTATACAATTAACCCATTAAAAATTTTGCACTTCCCACTTTTTAAAGCTAGTATGTGTACGCGCATTCACTCATTTGTTATCCTGAAAGTTGAGTGTGGTGGTTTTGTGAACGTATTCATTATGGCCACATCTCTCAAATACGGCAGCTCATTATAGCCACATCTCTCCTTCCTAACACACGCACAGTTTGTTCCAGGGCTCGGCCTCCTACTCAGTCGTCCCTCCTGTAAGAATGACTGAACTAACAGACATGAATCTGGAGACCGACAGCGGCATTATTGAGGACAAGGGGAGCGACAGTACTGGGTCCGATTCCAATTCCGTGGGGTCCGATTCCCATTCTAGTACGTCTAGCCTCGTGGCCGAGGAAGATGGGAACGTCGGTATGGAACCGGGGAGCAAACGGAACGGAACGGAGACGATAGCAGCCGTGGTATCAAGAATGGAAGAACCGGTGAATGGGAATGCTGAAGTTACACGTTCCCCTACAATAGAGAACAGAATCACTGTGCTGGTGCAAAAAGCGCTCCTTGTCACCATAGCTCGTGCGGTAATGCTACCGCAGTTGGTTCGCTGTCATTGTCTGCCCGACGGTCTACTCCGGACGATCGTGCGCTGGACCACCAGATTACTACCGGTGATTCTATTTATTGCCATCCTGGTATCAATGAGCGGCGCCGCATCGCAGCTGCAGCCTTCGGACGGTCCTCCGCAGATCTTTGATCCAGACAGCAACATGCAGAAGTTGCTGAACCTGCAGGGAAATCTCACCGACGTTGAGTCCATCAACTGCTGGAACTGCTCCGCCTGGTACATTGGAACTACTAGTGGAGGTAACTAACTCACTAGTGCAGTGGAACACCTCTAGTCTTGTGAGCAAAATCGAATCCCTGGAGAGAGGGCCTGAGTTATAGCTGTATGTAGTGGATAGTGGAAGCCCCTCTAATCCAGACACTAATGGGACGAGAGAATGTATCATATATGAATGCATAGTTATTTGTAGTCTAGGTTGATTTCCAAAATTAATGGCAATGGGGTTCAGATTAAAAAGGTCATCATTGTAAAATTAAGGGGTTGTTCATTTCATATGGGGTTCAAGTTAGAGGGGTCCTCATTGGAGGGGTCTGAAATTCCCCCTCTCTTCTGATGGACATAGGAGGAGGGACAGCAGGAGGCGGTACTCAGGGACCTACTAGTGGAACGACGCAGAGCAGTACCACAAACCCCACCACACCTCCCCAGACCGCTACCACTAGACCTACCACTCATGCCACTACCGCTACCACCGCGACCACTGCCACAACAAGTGGTACCACCAGCAAACCAACAGACCGTACTACCCCTCCCCCCACTTCCTCCACCTCTTCTCCCTCTTCTTCTTCACCAACTTCTGCATCTTCACCAACTTCTGCATCATCTTCGCCGTCTGACGGGACTCCGCCCACTAACACTCCTCCTCCCACTTCTGGCCCCGCCCAGAATCCGAACCTCGTGAATAACATTGTAGTGAACGTGGTATTTGGTGTGGATGGGGTTAAGAGGAAATATTCGACGTCGCACGTTTTGCCAGTTGAAGGAGAAGGGGTGAGTGCACATGCTGATCAGAAATTATGTGTGACATAAATTTTGCTAACTTAATTTTTTTCTTGAGCTGTGACCACAATATTTCTCGTGTGTGAAGTGCCCTTTCTGGAAATAGTTTAAAAGACTCTTGCATAATAATATCGTGTATGCATAATGAGTTAATGAGGTGAAGAAAGAGAGTTTATTTATACCTAATAAACGTGTAATGCATTATGCGCCAAGAGAAGCAAAGCATAATCAAATTTTTTTTCATCTCGCCCTTTTCTCCAGCGTCAAGCAATTCTGGACAAGTCATTCTCCTCCATGTTCACGTGCCCCCCTCCCTCCTCATCCTCCTTCTCCCTCCCCTCCCTCCTCGGGACCCTCCGCGCCATGTGTCGCGTCTGTCACAACATCTCCAACCCGGCCAACGGATTAGTCCTCAACGGGACCTTCACCTGCTTTCCTCCGGAGATAGTCGAGACATTGGAGAGCAAGTGCCTGCCACCGGGCTTCAGTCTGAGCAACTTGGAGGAGTGCCGCGCGGCGAAGAGTGGAAATTCTTACGTCAGGGCCCACTATAACTACACCAAGACTGAGACTGGAGCTGGGAGTCTGAGATTTCTGGCCATGGCCTTTAGATCAGTGAGCTCCTCTCTTATCTCTTTCCCTACTTCTCCTACATCTACTCTTTTCTTCAATAGTTGTGCGATTTTTTCTTCTCGTAATCGTAAACCATCTTTCTTTCTTCTATATACTTATTCGTAAAACCATCTTTCTCTTCTTATCTGAAATACATTCCCCGATGCTTTTCTCCTTCTCTTTGTACCTCTCCCTCTCCCTCTTGATTTCAAAAACTGATCTCCCTCTCTCTTAACCCTCTCCTTGGTTGATTCGCTCGTTTTTGTGGCATCTTAACCCTCTTCCCTCTGTCCCTCCTCCTCCTCCTCCTCCTCCTCCTCTCCTCTCCTCCAGACCACTTCACCGAGCGACTCTGCCACTGAGAACATAGTAGACTACGACAAGTGGGAGGATTTCCTCTCTTCTGAACTGAAAGCAATTCATCGTCTCTCCGGCGAGGGGCAGCCATACGAAGGAGCCTGGGACATCATCCAACATACGTTTCAAGCCTCGGGGTACTGGGTTGACATAAATACGGAGATCATCGCCATTCGCGGATCTTTCTACGGAATCCTCATTTCCATCATACTCTGCGGGATTGTCGTCGCCGTACTGTCGCACGACTGGTCGGTCGTTTTGGCGATGGGACTGACCATTCTGGGGATCCTGGTGACTCTGCTCGGGCTGTTCAAGATGTTCGGGTGGACGCTGGGAATAATCGAGGCAGTCTCGCTGTCAATTCTCGTGGGGAACTCCCTCGATTATTGCATTCATCTCACAGAGGGTTACGTGGCAACCGACACAAGACACTTGGCCTTCCTCCACAAATTCAAGGTATTATTATTCCATATAGGCTGAGAATTTGAAAAATCGCACACACTGTAACGTAACCATGAGTACCCTCTTTGAGTTTAAGAGTTGTGCTTCTTCGGTTTTTATGAAACTAAATAAAAACTTTTTTGCAGTTATGATTTGACTCCCTCTCTCCTCAGTTCACCCACGGAGCCAGTCCGCGTGTCCAGCGAGTCATGTCGGCCATCTCTTTCATCGGAGTCTCCATACTCAGCTCTGCCCTCACCACGTTCCTGGCCACCATCCCCCTCCTCGCCACCCAGATCCGTCTCCTCACGCGCTTCGGACAGATCCTGATCCTCGACACGGTCGTTGCCATTCTCTATACTCTGTTCTTCTGCAGTACGTTCCTCAGTCTCTTCGGCCCGGTCGGTACCTCGCGAAGCCCCTGGCGTATCCTGAACGCTGTCCTAACCATTACCGGCACCGTTGTTCTAATGCTTATTATTTTCTTCGTCTCCACGGAAGTCATGTCAATGTATAACATTATATAATTTCCCTCAGCCAGACTTTTTTAAGTGCATTGTTAAGTTGTCAAATTTTTTAATGTCAGGACGTAATGATTATTCCGGTGTATGTCAATATCATGAGGCAACGACTTTCCATCAACGTGGGTGGGAAGTTGATACTATTTTTAGATCGCTTCTAAAAATAGTAGCAAGTCACGTGAGCATATACACGCAGGATTAATCAAAATTAATTATCAGCAGCATATGCGTGCGCAGAACCCGTCTAATCTCCAAAGAATGCGCGCTAATTGGGGCGCTCAACGTGTTACTAAAAATAGTATCACCGGCGTCGTTTACCGGTTATAAATAGGGATTCTAAAAATAGGCGATATTGGGTGTGCCATATCCGTTACTGGGGGCTCGACGATCACTGGTTTGCCGTGTGGGAGACGCTGGGACAGTCAGGAAAGACGGCCATAAAGAGACTAGGAGAGAAGGAGACGCCCCTATCGTTCTACCTAAAGCGCCTGCCTCTCTAAATCCGGTCTTCGATTGCCCGCGCGTAGCCTCAGTCTCGGCATCTTGACCTCTAGGAGCAAGTTTTAGTTGAAGCGGATCTCGCCATGCAGACGATCAAGTGTGTAGTTGTAGGCGACGGGGCAGTCGGTAAGACCTGTCTACTCATCTCCTACACCACCAACAAGTTTCCTCAGGAATACGTCCCGACCGTAAGTTATGGGCCTCTTCTTTCTACGGACACGATATGAGTAGTTTGTGTGCGCGTTTTATCACCAAAGAAAGGGGATAAAGAAGGAGGTTTTAGTAGGCGGAGGAGGTGTAAAGGAGTCGGGAAAGAGAAGTACAGAAGGAACTAGAATGGGCGATAGGAGGAAGTGTGTGTATGTGGGTATTGTACGGATGGTGTGTGGTGGAAACGAACACATGCATTAGGTTGTCGTGTCTTCGTGCTCTTTCATTGAGCACTCCACGTCTTTTCATGCTCAATGTGTCTGGATGATGTTCACGGGACAAGTTCTCGAAGGAGTTGTTCCCACCACTAGCAGTGCTCGCCCCTTGTGTTTGCGTGGGGAGGGGAGAGGAGGGAGGGAGGGAGAGGAGAGGAGGGAGGAATGTGTACATAGGTGTGCCTACATAATGTAACGGATCCTGAAAACTTACCAGATGAAGTTTTCTGAATGTGAAGGTCGTGTTTCAGTAGACACTGGTACAGCATTCTCTGTAGTCAGAGTAGGGGGGGGGGGGCAAATTTTAGATCCCCGGGGGTCCAGACAGCTGCGATTTAGAGGCTTAACTCAGCGGTGTGTACGGTTCTAACAGTGTAGTGGATCTTGAAGACTTACCAGGTGTGCTCTGAATGTGAAGGTCGCGACACTTGTATACATCCAGCATTCTCTGTGGAGGGTTAACTTAGGGGCGTGTGCTGTGCTCAGCTCCACTGGCTGTGATGCTGTGCATGTAATCTAGACTGGGTTCTGTTGACATGCTGTTTGTGTGTGTGCCGGTCCACTATCTGTTCTCCCCCTCCTTCCTCTCTCTCTCTCCCTGCCTCACTCTCCAGGTATTTGATAACTATGCAGTGACAGTAATGATAGGAGGAGAACCCTATACTCTGGGCCTTTTTGACACAGCAGGTACCAAGAACACCCCCTCTGTCTCCTTCTCTCTTTGTGCTGTGGAAATGCTTTATTAAGCCCCACTCATCTGTCACTATAAGCCTCATTGTAAATCAAACCCCAACAAAACTGTAGGCTATCAGCAACCTCTCTACAATGCCTGGTTCCAAATTCCTTCCTCTCTGTCCCTCCCTCCCTCCCTCCTCCCTTGAATGTTGGGACATCTGTCCTCTTGCCAGTTCAACAATCAGATGTTTGCCAGGCTAAGGGTCTTTCTTACCACAAGGCAATTGTCTGACTGTACACTAAATCATCCCACTTTACTGGTGTTTATTCCAATTGATACCCACCCACCCATTCCAAATGATGCCCACCGCATTCCAATTGATGCCCACCCTCACACTCTACCTACTCCAGGTCAGGAGGACTACGACAGGCTGCGACCTCTGTCCTACCCACAGACGGACGTCTTCTCGTCTGCTTCTCCGTTGTCTCTCCAGCCTCCTTCGAGAACGTCAAGGAAAAGGTGATATATATTTACACACATGTGTCTGCTCATGTGTCATGTGATGTCACATGATCATCGGGTGATGTCATGTGTATTGTACATTGTTTAGGCCGCTGTCTTCACACTGCACACTTGTTCAGACGTCCATTGCCCCAGTAAAATAGCTTGCTCAATGTAAGAAAGGTTTTTAACTGCACGCTTCCGACATAGTCTCAAGGTAAACCAGATGGTTGGCTAGTGTATTTCCTTCTTTGCCCCCCCGCCCCCCCCTTGATAAGATAAAAGTAAGAAAGGTTAGGCCACAAGTCACCTGGTGAGAACGATGCTTGTCTCTTATACCACATGACATAATGATTGTGCATTGTCAGACTCCATGACATCTACTCCATTGTCCTTTCACTCTTTTACCACCTTTTATGTAGAACCCTCCCTTTCTCTCTCTCTCTCCCTTTCTCTCTCTCTCTCTCTCTCTCTCTCTCTCTCTCCCTCTCTCTCTGTCTCCCTTCTCAGTTCATGCCGTAACCTTTTCAGCATAGTAAGCTTTCTAAGCCAACTGTCCCTCTCTAAGATATACTAGAACCACACACTGCTGAAATTAGCGCACTTACTCTACATACACACATGTACATTAGTATTGATGTACAAAGTTGATAATGTTTTGTCCATTAGTGTTTTGATTGCAGGGAGGACTTGTTTACTCACGCATGTACCTCGATACTCTCGAGGGTTTGAATGTGTGGTGGTTTACTGTATATCAGGCCCTGGAGAGTATCACTAGTGGCATACCATTGGTGTCCTGATTAGAGGGGTTCCACTGTAAGTAAGAAGCCACCTCTGTGGGTGCACATTTCGACTTACAATGACCCCACCACTGTGATATATGTATGTATCCAGTTCACTAGCTGTTCCTAGTAACTGCATCACTCCTGCTGGCTGCTAATTTTTTTCCCCGCTTGTTTCCCCTGACAGCCGCACAATATTAATAAGTCTAATGACTCCTTTGCTGTCTGTCTACGATATATATAGCCCATAACTTTATCCCAACAAGTTACGTAACCCCTCTACTCTGGACACCAATGAAGTTCCCAGTCTTTGTGTGAGGGCATGCAGAGGTGCCTTTATTCTAGAGACTGTGTTCTCGTTTCAGAGGGTGTGGGTAGAGAGGAGCTCCAATCTACCGTTGTAGTTGACTTGTTTGCTTTGCCTTGACTCTTGTTACACACTGAGTGTGTGTGTGTGTGTGTGTGTGTGAAGAGTGTTTATCCTACCCCTTGCTAGAGAAGGGGAAGGAAGTGGTGTCTGATAGGGTGAGATGGTGTTTCAGTGGCCAGACTTCCAATAGACATTATGACGCTTGGTTTGCATCCCTTAGCAACCAGCCTGTATGAAGGGGGGTGCTGTATATACCATTTTTGTATCCACAAGCAAGGTAGCCTCAGTCAAAGAACGCAGAGATTTGAACCCAATGGAGGAGGTGCCTTTGAACTTGTGTTTACTTTCATAATGAACTCCACCTTCATTTGGGATTTTGCAGACTCCATTTCAGTATTTTAGTTGTGGGACCAACGCTCACTTGCCCCCAGCCCACACACACACACACACACCACACACACACACACACACAGACAATTTTTGGACCACCCTTTTTAAATTTGCACTGGGGATGGCTGTTTGGTGGAGAAAGGTAGAGAGAGGAACTGGACCTATAGTACCGCCATGTCTGTCTGATTGTGCTTGCAGTCAATAGTTTGCTGCGTCCTGCATATAAGTGAGTGGTAGTACAATTACCCTAAACTGGTGAAGTTCCCACATGCAACAATATTCATAGACCTAACAGCTCATGTGTCTACTACTTACGCACTGTGACTGACCTTATATCAGTCCCACTGGTGTATGTATATCATTTATACAGCCGCATATCTGTGCATTATAGGCCATATTTTATGTATATTGGTGTCAATGCATCTGACTGCTTACCTTCAGATTGAATCCGGTAGACATGAGACTCTGTTCTCTGTCTTAATTGCATATCCTCTGTGTATTGTAGAACTCTCAAATACATGTGTACAAGGACGACGTTCTATAAAGGGAGCTTTTTCGTTGTCCACTACAGTGATAATAATATGTCACACGGGACGCCTCGGTAAAGAGGACACATTGCCTGTCCATGGTACGACAGGATCATCAAACCTGAATAAAGGACAAATCTGAATGAAGGACAGATGTCCGTTGTCCCTTTGCCACGAGGCTCCACTGAGGCTTGCTTGGTGTGTAGCCGTGTTTCCTATGATGTCACAGTTGGTTGGTGCCCTGGTGACAGCACGTGTGGGTAAACACTTCCTTTAGCAGGGCTGCAAACAGCATCCTCCTGGTTTCCAGTAAGATACACATCATCTGGCACTCATCCCTCAAGGACCCCAGTGCACAGGAAAACATTCTCTTACTCTGATACAGTTTGAATAGGGCACGTGTAATTGTAACTAATGTAGTGCAGCAGTTTTATATTCTACGGTGACATACTGTCTGTGTACTTAGTTTTATATTCTACGGTGACATACTGTCTGTGTACTTAGTTTTATATTCTACGGTACATACTGTCTGTGTACTTAGTTTTATATTCTACGGTACATACTGTCTGTGTACTGAAGTGAAGGATGTATATAGTGACACACTCTGTTAAAGTTTCTGCCGTAAGGAATACAATTATACTTGTATTTTGTGTGGGTATACTTCCACATATGTAGGACCCGGCGTGGAAATGTACTAGCAGGAAGAGATCGATATCACATGTGTACCTCCTCCCCCTCTCTCTCTCTCTCTTCCCTCTCCTCTTTAGTGGGTACCAGAGATCACACATCACTGTCCCAAGACACCGTTCCTTCTCGTCGGGACGCAGATCGATCTGCGTGACGACGCCTCAACGCTCGAGAAGCTCTCGAAAGTCAAGCAGAAGCCAATCACGGGTGACGGAGCAGATCAAACTGTCCCGAGAGCTGCGTGCGGTCAAGTACGTGGAGTGCTCCGCTCTCACGCAGAAGGGATTGAAGAATGTTTTCGACGAGGCTATTCTCGCGGCCCTGGAACCACCTGAGCCGGCGAAGAAGAGGAAATGCATCCTCCTCTAATTAGAGGGGCTGGAGCTAATTCCCCCACTCGCCCTATCACGTGTTTTCCCTGCAGCAACTGGTTAAAACATACACAACTCTAGTCAACAGCACTGTATCGATATTAATTTATGACACGTTTACTTTAATCTTGCCGTTAACTGTTGTGTGAGTGTTGAGAGAGAAGAGAGAGTGAGAGACATGCTTCGTGAAATTTGTCTATATCGAGTCGTTGCGTGTGTGTCTAGATCTTATGTTATTATTTATGTTTACAAGGTGTATATTATAGGCAGATATTGGGTGCTATGTTATATTAACCTCATATTATTTGTGTGTATGTAGGTGTGTGTCCTTATTCATGCATTCGTCCATTATACACGCATCTCCACTTTATTTGCACGTTTTGATGTTTATTACTGACTATTGCGCATGCGCGGAGCGGACTGTGGACTGAGCGCGGCGACTCATTCTGCCGTTCTCACACAGAGTGTGGTGGTGGCGGAGCGGGAACGCCATATTTACGCATGCGCAATGTGCGTAGAAAGTGGGAGTGGCAGGTGCACAAAGCCTATTATTGCGGCTTGTGTTTGTTTTTCTCTTCCATTTTTCTGGATTTTGGAACGAGAGATTAGAGAGTGAGGAGGCGAAAGGACATCAAGAGAGCAGAAAACATGAGGTTGCTCCTCAAAGTAAGCCACTAGTTTGCTTCAAAGCCTAGTTACAACGATAGCTTGTACAAATCTTGTAATGTAGCTATAATTATAGCTTTCACGTGCAGTAGCTAAATTGAATGGCACTGAGCACTAAACAAGTTCGGAGCGTAGTGTGCATGCGCTCCAGCCAGCTATATTATAGCAACATTTTCTGCGACATTTTTCATTTGCATCGTGTTAGCTGCAATTCCATGTGATCAAGAAGCTATTACAAAGAGAGACGGAGTGTCAGAGTACGGATTGTGCTTTAAAAATTCCGTGATTATTGATGAACTTCCTGTGCTTGCAGGTAGCTGTGTGTCTCACGGCACTCTTGCTAAGCTACAGCCAAGGCCAGCACCAATCACTACACAATGTAGACACATACAGGACGTGGAGAACCAAACGTGGAAGAGATCGAAGACAACGCAAGACTTTTTCCACGAGTCCCGCACACAGCTCCATCTGGCCTTCTACACCTCTCGTCCGATCTCGCGCTGGATATCGAACTATGCAGAGAGACAGTGGGAAAGGAATGCGATATTCTGGAGTCTAACAAGATACTGATACCACTCGTGGCCTAGTGCTGGGTGAGCCTCCTGGCTGATCGGAATCGTGTCGCTTTCTTCTTTGAGTGAGTTTTTCACAGAAGAAATACAGAACATATTTGTCCTACTGCTGTACAAACTTCCTGCTAGCTCATATGACAGTCAATTTACTGTTTATGTAATTGGTTTGGTTTTGTGTTTGGTTGTTAGGAGGTATGTTACCAGTAGTTAGCTTAGCTATAGAGTTCCAGCCAGCTCTTCCAATGTGCCAGCGTGCTATAAGATATTATGGCACTACATCGACGGCTCTTGTCATCAAAAAGCCTTTGTCTGTAGCTCGACTCGTTGCCAAGTCTTTGGCCGCCACTGGAGCCTGGAGCCCAGCTGCCCAGCTAGATATTAACTGTACTGTTGAGTCTTAGGATCCCTGTGAGATATTATGATCCATGATCTCAGTAGTGGTTAGTTGAACAGTTTGTTGGAACCACTCTATATAGAATGGTGCCTGTGCATTATGAGTCATGACTTACAGTTTTTCAGTGCTTTGCAAAAATGCCTGTGAATTTAGTCAGTATTCGTGGTAAAGCAATCTTGACCACTAGTATTATGTACACAAAGGGTATAGTGACATCTGCTAACATCTGTTACTGGATGCCATCTGTGCTTTTTACCACATTGGTGGGTGCATAAACTAAACTTTACTTTATATACCCTTGGTGTTGTGTGTGTGTGTATTGGCAATCTCAGCTTGTGTTGTCTGGCATTCTCTTCCTCCTTCTTTGTACTTCGCTGTCTCCCCTTCCTCTATATACTCGCTCCCTCTCTCCCTACCTCGCACAGGTTACCGGCTCATCAGAATGTCCTCTTCCTCATTGGCTTTGTCATTGGTTGCTCCCTCACCTATTTCACGATCCTCACCTTCTCCTCCGAGCACCTCCATCAGACCTGGGTCCCTTACACCGCAGTCGCAGTCTCGGTGGTGGTGGGAATCATATGCGGAGTACTCACCATCTGCGTCTACTACATCGGGATATTCCTCGCCGGAGCTAGCATCGGTTTTCTCATCTCTTGGTTTATCCTCGCCGCGATCGATATCCAATTTTTCCGCGAGCATATCTACGTTCCTGTCATCGGGGCTGCGGTGGGCGCGGTCATAGTCGGTCTGGTATCGCTCTGGATCCAGAAGTGGTTCTTTATGCTGGGGACTTCGATCCTCGGGAGTTTCATGATCTGTTGGGGGGTCGACTATTTCCTGGAGCTGGGGGCGATGGTGTACTACTCTGCTGTTGTTTGCAGAGCATCGCTCGAGGCTGGAGCTGTGCTGGTATTCCTGGTGTGCCGTCCCGCTTTTTGTGGCATGTGGAGTGGCCGCCTTTATAGTGCAGGCCGTGCTGACTGGAGAAAGTATGACCACAGGAAAGAGCTTAAAGGTCAGTTCGTTTTATTGCATTGCAATTTTTGACCCCTTTATAATTATTAAAAGAACCCAATGTGGACACCTCTAATTTGAAACCCTGTCTGTTCCAGTGATTATAATTTAGTGCAGAGATTTAGGCAACTGCTAGTCAGAACTTGTATTATGCTTCAGAATGGGATTAAGGACACAAAGGCTTAATACTTTTTAGTAATTCTATTACCATAATCCTATATACCTACATGTAACCACTATAATTATTATACATGACATGTTTTGCTCAGGTATCATGTTGCATACCCTAATATTATTGCGCTGATCAGCATATTTTCCAATTGTGTCACTGTGGCTATAATTATACAGGATGGTGTTGCTGTGGTAAGTGCAGAAAGAAGACAAAGAAGAACGGTGGAAACTACATGGTGGGTGTGGTCAATTACATCACATTTCTAGAGAAATTCTTGTACTTTCTATTTCTTCAGGAGTTGACAGCAAAAGATGAGCAGTAACTGCAGAGTTTTGAATTTTGTAACTAGGATTTGAGGACTATTTTCAATGTTGTTTCACTGAATGATGAAAACACATGTGATTCCCTTTTTGTCTTTAAGTATTACCTATCTCATTCAGGTCTCGTTGCGCGCGGAAGGCCAGTGCATATATGGCCGTCAATCTTTCTCCGCGGTACGCGGAGGGCCACTATATATTAGTGGCCACGTAAATTACGTAATAAAGGGTGTGTGCGCGCGCGCGCGCGCGATTTAAAAATAATTCCGCGTAGAAAACGTTGCGGGTGTACGCAATAAACGCGCGTGCAACGTATTAACCATTATTATTGGGACAGCAGTCACTCAGGTTCAAACACTCACAAATATTATGTACAAAATGGCAGATGTGCATGAAGCTTAAGTGAAAATTTGAATACGACGGTTGTTTGTATCGCAGACATAAAGAGTTCCTTTCTCATCTACTGCTAGTCCAAATGGATCTTTAAACTCCCCAGGACCCTTTCCGCTTCTTCCAAAACACTTGATAAACTCTCCATCAGCGAAGAATACTGATACACGACTGTTTTCCCATTCACCAACGTACACCACATTGTTAGAGTCAACAGCGATACTGACTGGCATGTTTAGTTCTCCCTCTCCTTTTCCCTTCTTCCCAAACTGCCTCAAGTAGACTCCATCGTCTGTGAAGACCTGGATTCTGTGGTTTTCACAGTCAGCAACATACACATTGCCATCTTTGTCAACGGATACATCATAAGGTTTGATAAACTCTCCGTTGTTTGAGCCAAACCTACCAAACTCATTACAATAGGTCAGGTCAGAGCTCAGAATTTGAATTCTGTGATTGTTCATATCAAGCGTGTATACTTCCTGTGTATGTGGATTCACAGCAACTCCTGCTGCACCCTTAAACTGAAGAGGTCCATCTCCCTCTCTACCAACTTTCCTGATCAGGTGTTTGCCAGTGGATGATAGCTGTTGAATGCGATGGTTGCTGTAATCTGCCACGAGAATGGTTCCCCCAGTATCTATTGCTACACCTTTAGGGTTCTTGAAGTGACCAGGACCCGAGCCATTGTTACCAATTGAAGATAGTTTTTCCCCACCACTACTGATAATGGACAGACAATGACCACTACGCTCCACAACCACCATCTCCCCTTCCTCTCTGACCGCTATACCCCATGGTCTATCGAGGCTGGGAATAATCTTGGCTGGGCAAGTGAAGTTAGGCAAAACCCTAACAGTGAACCGACTGTTCAAGATCGGGCAATCTTCTATTAAAATGTGTAGTTGATGTTCTCCAGTGACCTGAGGCTGGTAGCTGATGTCGTAGATGTTCTGATTTCTTTTCTTCACAGTGCCCCTGACTCGACTGCTGCCATCGCTAGCAACTAGCTCGCACGTGAAGCTGTCTACAGGTACGAGGCAAGCTTCTTCCGCCCTATCTAAAGCTTCCACGGAGAAAACCACTGTTTGCCCTCTCATGGCTACCTTGATACCTTCACCTGAGGCTCGACACTTCTCAGGGCACACCTGACTGCAGTACACCTTACCAAACACCTGGCAAGTCCTCACCAGTCCAGGCAGTCTGTGAGCAAACTTCATGTCGGCTGTGTCAGCAAGAAGTAATTTTGTTGGCTTAAAGCTGCCTGTCAGGTCATCGATTTGTTTCACTAGAGGACCCTTCATCCTGAGAAAATCCCCCTGGCTGCAAGTATGTCGGCTTTCCTCCACATACTCCTGGCAGTTTCTCAATTTGCTTAGTTGTAGTTCAAACCCGTCTCGCTGTGCTGCCAAGGTCTTCAGTTTCTGCTGTGCCGTCTGCTCAGCTTGACCCACCAGCTCTGTCTCCCTCGCCTCTAGAGCTTGTCGCAGGTGTGCCATGGCAGTGCGATCTCTGCCACCACAGCCGTCTTCTGTTCTACAACTTCAGCACATTGAGTGTCCACCGACTCAACGGCTCTTTGTAACGTAACAATTTGCTCACCCACTGGTTTGAGAGAGTCCACGATCACTTTCTCATGCTTGGCAAACGAGTTGGCCAAAAGATCATACTGGTGGGCACGATGCTCAGACACAAGGCAGTAGCTACATATCAGCTGGTTGCAAGGATCGCAGTAAAAGAGTATCTCCTTCTCGGGGTGGTTTGGGCAGCAGTCCATTACAATATTGTACCTTGTTGTTCGTTCTGGAGAGTTTGGTGGTGAAAGTGAAGAAATATTATTGTAAACATGTATGTCAGCATGCTGAATTCGGGTTTTGGCTCGTACTGGCAACGCCTTGTGGGGATGAATCTCATTAGTTCAGAACCACAAGTGCTGCGCCTGAGCAAAGCCTTGTGGGGATGAATCTCATTAGTTCAAAACCACAAGTGCTGCGCTCAACTCTGCCTTTATAAACTCGTGATGCCAGAGAGAAAAGTTGCGGTATGCTTTGCTGATGAGGGCTAACAAGCCCGAAACAGCTGTCCAGAGCTCCTCATCTTTTTTCTCTTGGCATCACATGGTCTATTGTAAACATGTGTATCAAACAAACTTTTTTGAAGTCAACCCACAAACCAAAAGTACCAGCATCCTCCATCTTACACATCATCACACTGGCTAGACTGAATGTTTTGGCAAGCATGCAGAACACAGACAGTTTGATCATTTTTAATCACTTAATTAAGTCATGTGCAGTGCAGATGACATTCATTACTAGAAAAATCCTTTTTTTCCAGACAACTAGGTAGGCTCGCTTTGCTTTGCCAATACTATATTTGGGTCATGCAGACTGAGAACAACAAATAATAAAAATGACTTGTCAACGGGTGAGCGGATTGATGTGGGTGTGGTCTACGGGCTACCAGATGGTGTCCTGCTGAAGTCTGAGAGTTCTAACAATTCTCTTCTCCTCCTCGTGAAGATTCTTGGCATAGTTTATGAGCTGGGCAACCTACGAGAAGCAAGAAAAGAGGGATGATACATGCGTGGTGGCACTTTACTTCTCGTTGCTCTCTTTCCTGACCGACTGAGTCTGCCAAATCTCCACGTGATCCGATAATAATTTATTGATTACTAGTTACGTAAGTCAGAGGCTACATCATTGAGTAAGGCTGCTATAATACGTACGTGCAGGTGCATAATCTAGAATGAATGCAAGACAGTCTTGGCGAGTGAGTGAGAGCAGGCCTGCAGAGGTCAAACTATATCAACTCTTTACAGCATGGACTAGCAATCGGACAACTATATTATCTCTTTACCTGTAAAGTAAATTACTAACTGAAAGTGGAAGGAAAATGTTTACCTTTATTGCCTTTTCTTCCTTTGAACACTTGAGCTTTGTGTTGGATCTTCTCCCATCACTGGTCGTGTTGGGAGGTTCCACCAGGGACATGACGATGTAGAATGACGGGATTGCTGGAGAGAGGGAATGAACTGTTGGGAAACTTCCAGTTTCACTTCTTCATCCCCCCACTTACTGGTCTTGCTGGAGGAGGCTCGGCATTCCTGGAGGTCATTGAGGTCAATCCTCTCAGACAGGGACTGAGGGTCAGGGGGACTGTCTCTGAAGAAGTAGAGAGCCTGCGATGAGATGATGACTCTCAATGGCTCCGCAGGGTTCTCGTTCAGTAGCTCATAGGAAACCAGTCTGGAGGGAGTAGGGGAAGGAACAAGGAGAACAAAAGTTAAACGGGACATTCAAAATGTTTAGCTAATTTGTTTCTATTCGTGTAGCTAAAATGTACACAAATAATATGTCTTCTTACAGTACAACTTCTCACCCTAGCAATTTATTCACACTTAATGCACACACTCTGGCTCAATCCATCAAGCTATATCTCTATATTGCATTATCACGCTCACTTCTCGTCCCTGGCTCCATCGTTCAGCCTCAGAAGGTACTCCTGACCTCTGGCCTGAACCTCAGAGTAACAGGTCAGCGTCCCCGTGGACCCGATACAACACCTCCGATGTCGGACGGGAGGTGGAGCTCGCTCCACCATGTCTCCTCAGAGCGCTGGTACCGGAAGGTCCAGGCCAGCGTGGTTTGGCTAGTACCAGGATCCTTTACCACACCGTGGACCCCTGAGGAAAGGATGTTGAAAA